AATTTTAGACCCTTTTCTTTTCCACCCTTTTCTTTTCCACCCTTTTCTTAAGAGGAAAGGATGGGAAGGAAAAGTGTATTTGACGGTGGAGGAGTCGCATAGGAAGGGGAAATATCCTCTTTATGTGCGTCTCCTCCGTCGATTAAGGGTAGGCAACGCATCTGCAATTGCGGATGTTTATGTGCAGCGGTCGTTTTCCATTTCGGTGGATTCAGGTGGCCGCTGCTCGTTTGCCACCCTATATTATAAAAAAAAACTAAGAGCGCTGAGTCGTGAAATAACCGGTGAGTCGCAGCTCACATCTTACCTCTATGCATACTTGGACTTGAGCCGGTATACTGATCTGCTTCATTTGATCAGTGAGATCTGCAGGTCATCAATTTTAGTCAATCATCGAATTTGTTCTTACGATGTATTGTCCATCATCACCTCGGTTTTCCCGCTGCCAGTTTGCCCCCTTCTTTTACAAAGCATTTGAAATTCTATTCAGTATTCTATAAGGTTCAATTTGCCTTGTTGAAATGTGAATCTTGTCGGAGGCAAGGACTGTATGATTTTGGCTGTATTAACAGCTGTTCCCGTGCAGCTTCATCCGCATGAAATTATAAAAACTTTTTTCATTGACATTTGTCAAATTCTCAATTGCAAATGTCAAAATTACCGTTACAATAACCTTGCTTTCTTAATGTTGGCAGCTTGTAGTCCCTTTCCCATGTGAACGGTTTCTTCCAATATAACTATTCACCCTATAAGTTTTATAGCGTTAAAATATACTAGCTGTTCCCATGCGACTTCATCCGCATGAAATTATTAAAAAAATAATTTTAGTGTTCACATTTGCCAAGCTATCAATTGCAAATGTCAAAATGACATAACATGATGTCAATCCTTGGGAACCTTGCTTCCTTGATGTTGGCAACAACTTATGGTCTCTTTCCCACATTAGGGTTTTTATCCAAAATATTTACCTCTAAGTTTAACGGCGTGAAAATGCATAGCCTAAAGCGTGACGTAAGTGTAGGGTTTCTTTTATTAAAAATAGTTATTCGAAAATATGCTGTGATTGCTGACATCTTAGGCAACAAAGAAGTGTGTGTTTACGCTTTATTATAATAGTATAGAAGTATAGATATCATAAAGCGTGTTGTAAGTATAAGGCTTTTTATTAAGGAAAGAATTCAAAAATATGCTGTGATTGCTGACATCTTACGCCACGAATTAGTGTGTGTTTACGCTTTATTATATTAGTATAGAGAATCACATTTATTCGTCACAATCACAATTGAACAGAACTGTCAGTCATGTTATGAATGTAATTAGTGTTGCAACAAATCTAACCATGGGATCTTGATTGAAAATAAAAATCAAATTCTCTTCACAATTTATTCAACAATACTTTCATTATGGATACCAATATGCTTTAACAAACTTCTCAAATTTGATGACCGAAGTAAAACTGGTCAACGCTCGTACATTACACACTGTGATATCATTAGAGGGTGGACTGGTGGATGCCACCCCTCGAAGGTAGAACCTGGGTTTACCATCCTCGTACCAAGGGAAGGCTAGACCCCCACCACTGTCCCCTCGACAGAGAGCCTCACCTATATACAAAAACTTGAGTTGACAATCGTTTTGTTTAGATTTAGAGCCTTCGTACACGAGGTTAAGTAAAATTGAAAGTGGCTTAAGCAATGGCGAAATTACAGCTGGTCATAGACCTCACTATGTTTCGATGCGTTGCCAATTTTATTCAAAAGACGCACATAAAGATAATAGGTCCCCTATTTCTTGATAACCACCTCCCCTTTCCATTCTTACCTAGTATGCAAAGCTTAAAAAAGGACTAAAACTGGGCCACATCAGACATAACACAGAATACCTTCCATTAGGTGAAAGTCTACTATATTTGTATCGGGCTCTATCACTTTTAAAATTTACTTTCCCTCGTGTACAAAAAGCCTTAGATAATGATAGTTTAGGCTTGTGGGCGGACCGACAGACAAAAAAAAAATTGATGCGATTTTCGTTATCAACAACGCAAATACGATTACTGGAATTTTTCTTTTGACATTACAAATAGACACTCCAATTTTATTATATACATTAGATTTGAAGTACCAGGACGACATAAAAGACCACAAAAGACAACAAGAGACCTCACCATCTAAGGATCCAGCGCAGATCTTATCATCATAAGTGAGGTACCGAGATAACGCTGGCGATGTGAGGTTCAAACAGCTTTCGTAATTCTCATAAGGTAATTCTATCACCTTCAGTCTCGGGGCTTCGGAGCCAGACAACCCGGTGGTTAAACCCCAACCAGCTGCCTGGAGATTGGGACCTTATTGTAAGGTGGCAAACAAGCGGCTTGAATCCATCGAAATGGAAAGCGACTGCCCATAAACATTCGCAATTGCAGCGCTGCCTACCCTTCATTGACGGAGACGCACATAAAGAGGATACTTCCTCTTATGTTAATTTTTTGTAAAAAAATCAGAAGAATCAAATTTGCGACTTAAATTTTTTAGCTTGTTAAAGAAAAAAATGATCACTGTAAACACATATTTTTGGACATACGGTCAAATTTAAATCGGAAATCTGATTTTTCGGATTTTTTTACAAAAAAAAATCAAATAATTTTAAAACTATAGGAAATCGGGCAACAAACTTTGTTTACATGATAGCTATTGAGGTCCTCTACCTCCACAAAACCGGTGATGCGCCTGGTAAGAATCAACCTGTATATAGCAAATTTCATCGAGATCCGTTCAGCCGTTTAGGCTACAAACTAACAAACATCCATCTAAACTTTCGCATTTATAATATTAGTTAGATTTTAATCAAAATATAAGTAAATATTTCTTTGAGTCTTCCTACCTTTCCACGGTTCCCGTTCCTTAGTTGTAGATTACCTAACTCTAGACTGAAGTCTAGACACACAGGAACTACATGCGGCTTGTATTGGAATGTTTGTTTCGCAAATACTAAGGCTATATCATTCTTGTAATATAATTCTAAACCACGGTAAAGTTTTGGTACTATTATATCAGATACCTTGAACAATATAGATATTAAAAAATATATACAGAAAAAAATCTATCTACACTATTATAAAGCGTAAACACACAATTCTTTGTTGCCTAAAATGTCTGTTGAGTGCAAAATACAACCCCTTTGGCTGACAAGCAGTATACAGCCAAAGAGGTTGCATACTGGCCACCAAGGCAATCATCACCAGCTCACTATACGTCCCCACCGAGGGGCTCGGAGCCTACCCTAATAAGGGGTGACTAGGACATAGTCAACCACGCTGGCCAAGTGCGGGTTGGTTGACTTCACACATATCTTTGAATTTCTTCGCCGATATGTGCAGGCATCACGATGTTTTCCTTCACCGTAAGAACGTCGGTTAAATTGTGTACATATGAAAATTCGAAAAATCGAACATCACATTGGTACAGCGGGATTCGAACCCAAGACCTGTAGATTACAAGTCAAGTGTTCAAACCACTGAGCCACCGACGCTCTTTACCAAGGCAATAATCGCTTGTAAAAGAAAATATATAAAAGAAGAAGTCAAGAATGTGATCGATATAGTTTGGAGTTTTAAGTTTTGTATATTTTTTTGTGTAAATAAGTTTTCAATAAAGATATGTTTGTTTTATAATAAGTGTTTTGTATTCTTGGCTGCCGCGCTGTCGGTAACAAGTTAAACAATGTCAGCTATACAGCATATTTTTGAATAATTATTTTTTTAATAAAAACCACTACACTTACACGCTTTAGGCTACATATTTTCACGCCCTTGAACTTAGGGGGTAAGTAATATTTTGGATAAAAACCCTAATGTGGGAAAGAGACCAAAGTTGCTGCCAACATCAAAGAAGCAAGATAACGGTAATTGGCCAATGTCAAAGATATGAATTTTGACATTTGCTGGAAGTTTTTAGTTATAAAAACTAGCTGTTATCAATTACAAATGTCAAAATTACGGTTACCAATTCTTGCTTCCTTAATGTTGGCAGCAACTTATGGTCTCTTTCCCACATTAGGGTTTTTATCCAAAATATTTACCCCCTAAGTTCAATGGTGTTAAAAAAACCTAAAGCGTGTAAGTATAGGGCTTTTTATTAAAGAAAGAATTATTCAAAAATATGGTGTAATTGCTGACATGTTAGGCAACAAAGAAGTGTGTGTTTACGCTTTATTATAATAGTATAGATATATTACAGACATAACTTACATCAGATTTCTGTACATATAATTCATCGTTAGGATGATTCCAGTCTCTATACAATTTACCGACCGCTAAAGAATACCACATCGCGCGGTTCAAAGCTCTCAAATCCTCATTCCAGAAGCAATGGGCAGCTGAAAATAATAACCACCCCAAGTGTAGATTTTCCTTACTAAAATAAATAGACAAACGAACAGACAAAAAAAAATTAAATGCGATTTTTGTTATAAGTAACGCTAATACTTTCGAAATCTGGTTTTTTTCTTTTGGTAATACAGACGGAAAGTCCAATTTTATTATATGTATAGATGGATATATTGTTTAGTATAGTTTGTCTAAATAAGATAGATTAGTTTGATAAATAACGCATATGAAGTATCGAATTCAATTTGTATGAAAAATGCCGTACTTAGACAGGTATCGTAGTGACGAAACACGCAGCGAACAATTATGAACTATCGATATTCGGTTTAAATAATTATCGAACTCAACTAAAATTATTATTTTCTTATTAACTAATTTAGTGGACAATTCTAGTATTGATTATAGTGTAGAGAATTTAGCGATGACAGAAATAATAGCGAAATCCAATTCGATTACGTACGGCTGTAGTAGTAATATTTACTCATTTACTCTCATTACTTGTTATGGTCATTATTAATTTGAGAAAACAGTGTTTTTTAATTCATTAGTTATAACTATAAATCTATCAATTCCAACTTCTATAAGAATAAAAATCGAATATCGATAAGATTCAAGACTGATTGCACAACCCATCCCTACTGAATTTGAAATGAATTGTCAAACTAATCTAAATTATTTAGACACTATAAATAAACATTTCCTTTCAGTAATGTCTCCTCTATACATTTTAATCTCTATGGTTTCAGTATTAGTGACGTTTTTACCTGATAATACAACAGTATTACTGACCAAAGATCCTCCGCAGATTTGTACGCGAGTCTTGTTAATTGGATTTTTCATATAAATACCAACATGCCAAGGTACTTCTGCGAACCTCGCGTCTCTACCGCGGAGTACTAACGGTGTTGACTTCGGTGGCTGTACTCCGCATTCTAAAGAAAAATTTGTTATCTTACTAATCCTTCTTCTTACTAATATTATAAATGCGAAAGTTTAGATGGATGTTTGTTAGAGTTTGTAGCCTAAACCGCTGAACGGATCTCCATGAAATTTGGCACAGGTTTAGAGCATAGTCTGGAAGAACACATAGGCTTTTTATCTCGGAAATAGTTACGGTTCTGGGATTCATAAATTTAGTTTTTTTAATGTTTACTCGATCATTCTGCAACGGTTCAACATATCATATTGAAAGGCACAGATATAAAACAAAGTCTGGAGTACACATGGGATGAGGTTCATTCCCGAGAAATGTCCGGTCCCCGAGGGATACGTAGCTTTTTGTTATTTATATAGTTCGTATGTTTTCTAATACCACGCGGACGAAGTCGCGGGCAACAGCTCGTTTCACATAATTGTAAAAGGTTATAAGATTACACGATTTTCGAATAAAATACATATTTAAAATCATCGAAAAAAAAAAAACGTATTGAGAACCAAATTCTTGGAAGTCGGTTAAATTTGTATAAGAATAGCTTTCGCCCGCGACTCCGTCCGCGTGGTGTTAAAAAAAGTGAAGCCTGTGTTCCATACTATCCCCTACATCTATGCAAAATTTCATCGAAATCCGTTCAGCCGTTTAGGCTACAAACTCTAACACCCATCCAACTAAACTTTTGCATTTTTTATAATATAATGTGTCAAACGAGCAAGCGGCCACCTGAATACACCGAAATGGAAAGCGACCGCTGCACATTAACATCCGCAATTGCAGCGCTGCCTACCCTTCATTAACGGAGACGGACATAAAGAGGACATTTCCCCTTCCTATGCATCTCCATCGTCAAATCCACTTTTCCTTTCCATCCTTTCCTAAGAAAAGGGTGGAAAGGGAAAAGGATTAAAGTTAGGCCTCCGGCACCACACTCATTAGACGAAACGTGGAATTGCTTTCACTTCACGCCTGTTTTCTGTGTGGTCGTGGTATTACACCGAACGAGACGGTCCATTCGTGCGATGTTAAAGCAGGTTCTACCACTGGTAAAATTAAATTAACAAAAACCTCCTAACATTTAAATACATAAAAAAATCCTTACCAACAGCACAAGCAGGTCCTGAAGTCCAAACACCCTGTACACAGTGCATGTAAGGTAACTCAACAGGGGAATAATAATGTGGTGCTTTACAGGATGTCTTTACAACTGTCCCCTCTATTTCCTCCATTTCACAAACTCTTGGATTCCCTGATTCATCGAAACATTCGTAATCCACACTTAAATGTTTAATTAACTCACATGTTTCTAGAAGAAAAATATCCTTATAGTATCAAATTCGCTAGAATAGCGAAAATAAACTCTACAGATCTCGACATGTTTTTTTAATTCTCGCACGGAAATAATCGCGGGTGAAAACTAGTGTTTCGTAATACAAAAAATAAAATTAGAGAAAACTCCTCATTGTACTACAGTCACGGTACAAAAAGGTTTAGAGCCTGTCCCATTACTGGCTGATAGAGGCTCAGATAGCTTATAACGTCACTATCAGATAAGGGAACAAAATCCGATTATTATCAGACAATTTACAATTTACCGGGACAGGTCCTAAAATATTTAACCGAAAATGCGTTTTAAAAACCGTTTAAAGTCATAAAAAGGCATTAAAACCATTATTAGAACTATCTGTAGCTCGCGGTTTCGTGCACATTAATTCAAAGAATAATATAAAATATAGCCTATGACACTCAGTGATAACATAGCTTTTTAATGGTGAAAGAATTTTAAAGTACTAGCTGTCGCCCGCGACTCCGTCCGCGTGGAATTAAAAAAATACAAAAGTGAATAGCCTATGTGTTCTTCCACACTATTCTCTACATCTATACCAAATTTTATCGAAATCCATTCAGCAGATTAGGCTGCAAACTTTAACAAACATCCATCTATCCATCCCTGGAAGCCCTGGAGTGGATCCCACAAGGAACACGAAAGCGTGGCCGCCCTAAACAAACCTGGCGGCGTTCAGTGGCGGCCGACTTGAAGGTAATCGGGCTGTCATGGTCCGAGACACACAGGTCCCAGGACAGAGCGAGCTGGCGGCATACTGTGGACGCCCTCTGCCCCACTTTGGGGACATAGGAATAGAAGAGAGATACATCCATCCATCTAAACTTTCTCATTTATTATATTATGATTTACAATATACTTACGTACACAACGCGGGATATCCTGCCATATACCATTTAGACAGACCACTTTATTCTCACCAACCAACTTGAAGCCTTGATCACAAGAATACTCTAAAGATAGATAATCTACATCTGTTGAATTAGTTTCTGTTACAATAATATAAGAACCATTTGTAGGTGCTTCTGGTGACGTACATCTAGGAAATAATAAAAAAATGCTTTATCTAAACTCTATACCAGGGTTAACTTATTAAAACTTTCGTGAGACATTATTAGGGTTGTAACGGACCTCCGCTTCCGCTTCCGCAAGTGCGGAACTTCCTCTAGGAATTTTAACTCCGCATCCGCTTCCGCTTCCGTTAAAATGGCTTCCATTACAACCCTACTCTATACCAGTGTTTCTCAAAGTGAGCAATAACGCCCTCTCGGAGGCTTTTGTAATGTAGGGAGGGGCGTTATAGGGCCCCAGAAAAATTGGGGGCGTTGATATGTGTTAGAGGGGCGATGCAGAATTTGTAATTTCATTTATTTTGTATAGTATTTTAAATTTTACTAAAATTGTATAAAAATGGGAGGCGCTGAAAGATCATTGATTTTTAAAGGGGGCGATAAAATAATAAGTTTGAAATACACTGGTCTATACTAATATAATAAAGCGTAAACACACTACTTTGTGGCGTAGGATGTCAGCAATTACAGCATATTTTTGAATATTCCTTTCGTTAATAAAAATCCCTACACTTACGACACGCTTTAGGCTATATATTTTTACGCTTTTCAACTTAAGGAGTAAATAAATGGAAAAAAAAAACATCATACATATTTATTTACAAGCAGTTACGCGCGGCTTTATCCGCATGAAATTATAAAAAAATGTTTTTTGTTTTTTTTTTTTATAATTTCCTGTTTTGTTAAATTCTCAATTGCAAATATTAAAATTTAAATACACAAATAAGGAAGGCCATTGAATAACAATTACCGTTACTAGCAACCTATCCTTTTTTTCAAATTATTTACTCCCTAAGTTTAAGCGTGAAAATATATAGCCTAAAGCGTGTCGTAAGTGTAGGGCTTTTTACTAAAGAAAGAATAACAAATTATACTGTGATTGCTGACATCTTACGCCACGAAGTAGTGTGTGTTTACGCTTTATTATAATAGTATGGAAAATAATATCATATGGTTTACAGAATAGAAATGTGTAGAGGAGGAGGTAAAGACTGAAACATACTTAGGTGGTTCAGTAACCGGTGCGGGCGTGGTAGGCCTGATGAGGGTACGTACTCCACACAGTTCCACCTTCTCATCAGACTCATCTACACATTCTATAGTCTGGTAAAACAAAAATAAATCAATAACCAATAATTTACTACTATTATAAAAGCGAAAGTTTGAATGTATGTTAGAGTTTGTAGCCTGGACTGCTAAACGGATCACGATGTTTGGCATAGATGTAGCGGGATCCTTGAAGAACATAGGCTACTTACTTGTTACACGCAGACGGAATCGCGGGTAAAAGCTAATCTAGTAGAGTCACATAGTGTCCGACGTTACGACAAGTTTCCGCGTGGAATAAAATAGGAAATTATAAAAAATATAGTTGCAAATCTATTTTTTTAAGAATGAAAGATTTTATGAAATCGGCCCTCTTATATCAATGGGACAGAAATGCGAATGTTAAGATGGATGTGTGGGGTAACACGAATGGGTAAGATTCGAGTATATTAGAGGAAGTTTGAGAGTAGCCCCCATAGTAGAGAAGGTAAGGAGTAAAAGGTTAGCATGGGGGCATGTTATGAGGAGGGATGAATCGCATGTTACAAGGAGAACGTTAGTTATGAGTGTGGAAGGGTACATCGGTAGAGGTAGACCTAGAAAGTGATGGATGGATTGTGTAAAAGGTGACATGATCAAAAAGGGAGTGATGACTGAGATGACATATGATAGAGTTATTTGGAGGACAAAAACCTGTTGCGCTACGGGAGTAGGATAAGGAGATGATGATGATGATGGCCTTCTTATATCAATACATACAAAAATACAAATCTTTCCTCTTCATAATATGACTAGCTGTTGCTCACTTCTTCGTCCGCGAGGAATTAAAAATTAAAAAATAAAGCCTATGTTACTAACAGATAAATTACCTTTCTAACGGTGTAAAAATGTTTAAAATCGGCCCAATAGTTTTTGAGTTATTTCAATATATACAAAAACACACATATTTACTCTTTATAATATCAGTATAGAAGTATATATGTATACATATAAGAGTGTAGAAGAGATCGAAAAAGGTCTATTCCCATAGAAAACCCCTATATTTCACAATTTCTATATAAAAGATTCCCCCCTTACCCGGTTACACTGTGCTGCAGCATCAACACATCCGCCGTATTCACACTGAAACTGTTCCTCTTTACAAGTTAACTCCGCGCACGAAGACAGCGTCTCATCAGAGCGGTCTTTGCAATCCAGTACACCATTACAGCGGCTGTCTAATGGGAGAAGCTGTCCGTCTAGACATCTAAACTTGTCACTGAGAAGAACATTCATATTTTTGACTTTATCTTCGCACTGTAAATCCTCACGAAAAACCACCACACAAAAGACAGGCGTCAAGTGGAAGTAATTTCGCATATAAGTGTGCTGTAGGCCTATTCTAGTCCCTTTCCACCTTTTTCTAATAAGGTAAGGTAAGATTTGATGGTGGAAGAGACGCATAGGAAGAGGAAATATCCTCTTTATGTGCGTCTCCAACCCCCTTCTCCTTCGTTAATTAAGGGTAGGTAACGCAACTGCAATTGCAGAATTAGATGACCGCTCGTTTGCCATCTTGTTATAAAAACAATACAAAACCTGGTGCTTCCTACTAGAGTCGGAAAAGGACAGGTAGATATCCCCCTTATTATCCGTTATGTGTTCATTAACGGATTCTTTTCATTTCCACCCTTTTCTTAAGATGGAAGGATGGGAAAGAAAAGTGAATTCGACGGTGGAGTACATGCATAGGAAGGAAAATGCCCTCTTTATGTGCGTCTCCTTCGTCAATGAAGGGTAGGCAGCGCTGCAATTGCAGATGTCTATGTGCAGCGGTCGCTTTACATTTCGGTGGATTCAGGTGGCCGCTTGCGAGTTTGCCATCTTATATTATAAAAAAAAAATAACTTACCCTTCTATTATAGTCCGTCCCTTACATCTGGGTAACTGTTCATCGGAGTCATCCGGACACTCCTGCTTATTGTTGCAGGGAGCAGATTCGTCGACACACGCGCCGTAGTTACAACGGAAAGTAAATGCGTCACATCTGGGAATATATATACAGTCAGCTTTTCGCGGTATTTATCATCACCAGCTCACTATACGTCCCCACTGAGCTCGGAGCCTACCCTAAGTTAGTGATTAAGCCATAGTCAACCTGCACTGCGAGACTTCACACATATCTTTGAATTTCTTCGCCGATATGTGCATCACGATGTTTTCCTTCACCGTAAGAACGTCGGGTAAATTATGTACATA